GGGGAGTGACCGGCTGTGTGTGTGTGGGGGAGGAAGTTTTCAACCTAACCCACGACAGTCGGCAATGTGCACTGGCAGCCCAGAAAGCCAACTGTGTCCTGGGCTGCACCAAAAGAAGTGTGGCCAGCAGGTCGAGGGAGGGGATTCTGCCCCTCTACTCAGCTCTTGTGAGACCTCACCTGAAATACTGTGTTCAGCTCTGGAGTCCCCAAGCACAAGAAGGACACAAGAAGGACCTGCTGGAGCAGGTCCAGAAGAGGGCCACAAAGATGATCCGAGGGGTGGAGCACCTCTGCTATGAAGACAGGCTGAAAGAGTTGGGGCTGTTCAGCCTGGAGAAGAGAAGGCTCCGGGGTGATCTTATTGCAGCCTTTCAGTGCTTAAAGGGGGCCTACGGGAAAGCTGGGAAGGGACTTTTTACAAGGGCGTGTAGTGATAGGACAAGGGGCAATGGCTTTAAACTGAAAGAGGGCAGATTTAGATTAGATATAAGGAAGAAATTTTTCAGAGGGTGGAGAGGCACTGGAACAGGTTGCCCAGAGAAGTTGTGGATGCCCCATCCCTGGAAGTGTTCAAGGCCAGGTTGGATGAAGCTTTGTGCAGCCTGGTGTAGTGGAGGGTTTCCCTGCCCATGGCAGGGGGGTTGGAACTAGATGATCTTTGAGGTCCCTTCCAACCCAAACCATTCTATGATTCTATGATCTAGCTGGAATGCTTAAGACAACCCCCATCTATCTATTCTGCTCCTTCTTCAGGAGGCCATGGCCCTCAGATTAGCTCTTATACAAACACCTGTGTTTGTGAGGCTAGCTTCAATGCAAAAATCCAGCAGCTTTGCTTAGTTTAGCCCTACCTTCCCTGGCAGCTTTCAGCCAAACTATGGACTTCATACTGAAGTGGCTGAGGGGAGCACACACACTGTCCTGCCAATTCTCTGCAAGCAGCAAGCTCTGGCAGAGAAGGGTAATGTGTTCACAGCAGAAATGCCTGAGACAGTTGAACCTCTGCTCACAAATATTACTTGCTGCTTCTCACTCTACATTGATTAAGAGAACAGCGTAAGATCATACTGATAAAAACCCGGTTTAGCTACCACATATTTTGGGGTTGTGGCTGATGACTCAGGGCCCTGCCACTGTGCCAGGGGCAATGTGAATAGCCTCACACCTCTGCACTTCAAAAAGTAGAGAGGTCTAGTGAGAGAGAAAGGATCCTTCATATGCAGCATCCTCATTACCCTTTGTAAGAAGGTAGCTTCTCCACCACAGTTAGAGGTTCAACAACTGCAGGGTAGCAGTAGACAAAGAAGCCTCCTGTGCAGGAGCAGTTATTTTTGTTAGGTAGAGCATACAGTTACTATCCAAAATGCAGTTTGGCCAGGGCATCTGTGTTTCTTTCTCATTGCACATCCTCCCACTTCTGCAAGATGTGCCAGGGGGTTATTTAAAGAGTGAACCCAGTCAAGAATTTGGGTTTATATCCTCATAAAAGCAAAGATTCAATATTAACCCTAAGGAAGAGAGCATATTCACTGAATTACCAAGATCTTAGGGAGAAAAACAAATAGATTACCTTTTCTCTGCTTCTCCAGATTCCAAGGAGAGTAAAACTTCTGGAATGACAGAATCAAATGTCTGCTGATTTATGGAAATCTCAATTTGCAGCATCTGAAAATACCACGAGAACAACAGTTTTAACTATTCACTGAACAACCTTTGCTAAGAAAGCTGGTTCTGCTCATGTAGAGTGACAGCATTTATTTAATTTTAAATGCTGAAAGCTGTATTATTTTCAAATGCTAGAGTCAAATGCATCCTAAAAGATTCCACACTTTTTGCATATCAGGAGGAATATGTACTTATATGATAGCAGAACCCATCAGGAGCTGTATGGTTGTTTTTCCATCCTCCTGCCGCTAGGACAAAGTCTCTAGATAGACACTTTGCTTAGAATTGCATCCACATGCTACTGCTAGCATGCAATGTAGCTTCTCCTCCAAATGGATACTGTCATACATGTGTGATGCACTCTGTAACACATGGCAAATGTTTGGAAGAATGCCAGTGAAACAGATTTTCACCAAAATCTAACAACTGGTCAAAACAGAAATATGCTGTGAAAACATTTTGGTTTAAATGCAATTCTTCCAAAAACTGGTAAGGTTGCTGCCAGATCACCAGCAAACTGCCTACCTAGTTACCACAGGCTTCAGAGCTCTGGGACAGGAAGACAGGCAAGTAACCTCAAGGTTGGAGAAATCTAGGACTTCCATGACACAACACTTGAGGTCGCATTCCTAAAGGTCTGATCCCTGTAAAAAGGGATCCATCCATTTTGGAAAAGGATTTTCACATTTCAAAGTTTTCCTCTGAATAAGTACAAGGGCACATTTCAAGAGTGAAATGCTCTGTAAAACTCTGCCCAGATCTGCTTTCAAAGGGCACAGTATTTTCTAGAGATTTCCCCCCACCCTCACCATTCAAGAAGTTGCTTCCATTTTTAGAGCTAGCTTTACCTCATATACTCTCTGTTGCTCCTGTAGTTCTTCCAGCCGTCCTGGAATATCTGTTTTTAAGGCCTCTTGCATTTTTTCTAGGAATTTCATCAATTTTTCACATTTCTGAAATAATTTCTTTCCATCATTTTGAGTTCCCTCAACCACACTGTAAAACAGAAGAAATAATCAGAAACTATTGTGTTGGTGGTTGTTTTTCTGGCTATGTTTGCATAGGGTCTGATGCGGTGGTTGGCAATACTAACACTGGCACTTCGCTACCTTCTTCGCCTATGAACATCCAGATTTTTGCTTCAAGTGACTTGAAACACAAATAGCCACTGAATAATCTGGAGTAAACTGAAAGGGCAGGAATTCAACTTGGAAAGCCCCTGAGAAAGCTGAGAATAGACGGCAAGACTTCCTATGCTTTCCTCTGGTTTTGATTTTCCTCACAGAAAAAAAAATTAGTAGTAGTGATTTTTCATTTGCATTTCGGACCTGCAGTGTTCCAGAGCAGTTGCTGTTTTCTGACTCCACTGCCGAGTCAGGCTCTGAATTTTCTTCAGGGTGAAGTCACTGAGTGGCAGCTTAATGCTTTCTTCATTCAAACTCTCTATGCTTGGAAAAAGTGCAGCAAGCTTCAGTGTCTGATTCTGGAAGTAAAAGAAAAATAAATTAATTTCAAAAGTACTGACTTTCTTTCCTTTCATAGAAATACAGCAGCCTGTTCTGTAGGAAGCATCTGAAAGTTACACATCCAAAACGCTGATCCAAAAAACCCCAATGTTTCTGTGTTAACTTCAAAGAATATAGGAAACAAAAAAGTCACAACTCCCTTACTCAGGGCCCCTTTTTCCAACAGTATTGAACAGCTACTGAACAGCTGGTACTTGCAGATTTACTTTGTCGCCTACAATAGGGCAACGGGGCAGCTCCATAGCAAAGCTGGGGAAAAAGATCTCCCATCAACCCCAAATCGATGTGATTTTCCTTCCCTCCATGCAGGCATTTGGCCTGCAACGCTTATCTAGAATTTTTAGGAACTTAAAGAGTTGCTTTTTGTGTTTTGGATGAGATTACCGTTACTCTGATGGAAGTGCTATAACTACGACACTTGGGACATAAAGAGTTTCTTGAAGTAGGCAAGGGCCGCTATCCTCTGGACACTTAAATTCTGAGTATGTATCTTTTTCTACTTGGGAATCTAAACATACCACGAGCAATTCCGAGTGGCCCATTTCTCCCTCCAGACAGAGACTATCGAAGGCGCCTGTGAGACTCTTGACATGACCCTCCAGCGTTTCAAGGCACTTCTCAAAATCCTCCATTTGTAAAAGATTGAACTAGGGTGAATATTAGATACTTACATTAATTATGATTTGACACACATACTCAGTATACAAAAAGAAGCAATAAGCAGTACTGTCAGGAAAACAAATGTATGTTAAATCTGAATTCCAATGTATTTATAACTCACTAACTGAACTTTTACAGTTTTTGCACTGGATAAGGGGAAAATTTAAGCCAAAGCAGAGAGCAAGAAACTGAATCTCTAAATACTGAGAGATTCATAGCTGTCTGGAAGGAATAGGGGCATCTGCAGTACCTTTTTGTAGCTTTGGGCTGTTTGATTTATTGTGAAACTGGGAAATCCAAATTTAGTTTATCAGAGGGAAGAAACTTGTGTACATGAGCTTCCTCTGAGCTGCACACAGGGGCTGCTCCCATGTGCCTCCAGCTAAGGCTGTGCAGCTTATAAGAGCTCTGTGGAGAGAAGTAACGAGGGCTGGAATTCAACTTTTTGATTCCCTAGGTTGGTATCTTTGGGTCAGGGAGAAGAGCACCGGGGAAGATCTTTCTTTCTTACAGCTCCACATTCTCTAGGAACAGCAAACAGCAACATTTTTACAAGGAATGCATGGTAAAAATTGGTATGGGGAGAGAGACAGTTCGGTGGTAATGCTACAGGGTTACACCAGAGAAAATGACTACCCAGAATTGAAATTTTTCATGGAGCAAGAAGTTCACAGGGAATATGAGAAATCTGCTATCTTCACAAAGATATCTGGCTTCCAGCCATTGAACTGTGCTGGTTGATAGAGTCATAAAGAGAGCTGGCTGAGAATTCCTTGACTAATTTGAGTTTACTTTAGAACAGAAGAATTCATTGAAACCAGACTTTTTCACAGGAACAGACTAGTTTTACACCAGTAAATGTACAGCAGCACATTTGCTCTCAAGTTTTCTCAAGAACACACGCACAGAGGGAAAGTCAATCTCACAACACTCCTGTGAGCAGAGCACCATATGGGGAAACCTGGATCGGGGTCCCTTCCTGCTCTGCCTAAACAGGGATGTGAATCTTGTCATCAAAAGTACATCAAGTGACCACAGTTTTCTGCTTGGTTTTAGATACATTGTGTGTACTTTTATCAAAGCAAACTGAAGCCCTTAGGCTTCTTCCAAGGCAGAGCTGAGCAAGTTTACAACTTACTTTGAGGTTCACAGAATGAACATACATTTCCTAACCTGTAATCATCTGGGGGTCCCGTACTGCTCGACCGTAATAGGTCCACTTACAAAGGCTTGCTAGAGCAACACAAGCAGGTAAGAAGGCTGAAATTCTTCCTTCATCTGTCCCTCTGGCTTCGTGTATTAGTTCTTTAGATAGTTGATCATACTGTCAAACTTTATTTTATTGAAATTTTATTTTATTTCATTCAATAACTACAGGGCTCTAGTGAAGAAGGTAGCTCACACAGGGCTCTAGTAAAGAATTTACCTCACACTGACAGCTAATTTCATACTCAGAAAAATACCTCAAATTCATCTAGCTTCCTCTGCAACATCTTTTCCAAATAAGATACTCTCTGGAGCGGCTGCAGCTTCTCCAACAGACTGGCTCGTGCAGTTGTCCCAGCCTGCTGTTCTATCTGATCAGCCATCAAAGAAATCTCGGCACGGCGTGCTGCTATCTTTTGAAGGCCATGCTGTAAATTCTGATGAGAGAAGGGGAAAGAAAAGAAGTCAGCAAATGAATCAGATCATCATTCAAGTGCCACTTTCATTTAGTATCTTTTGTTGCTGTAACTAAGCTCTTTTTGTTGATCTCGTCCGGGAGCCAAATTCAGCTATGGCGAAAGCTTCAGTCTTTTACTCGGAGAATAACAGGAATCGCATCCATTGACTCTACTGCTAGGAAAGGCACGGTTCAAAGTTCAATGCAACACCAGTGACTTCAGGCAGTGGGATACTACTGCTACAGAGGAGAATAGGGAGAGAAATCAGAATAGCCCTCTCTACAGAATGGATTTATACTAGAGATGGAGAAACGAGCCCATGCTGCGGATGAGAAATGTCATTAAGTTACAAACATACCAGTACTTTGGATCCCTTAGTGACCGAGGACTATGGTTTTGGTTTTATTTCTTCCCCTTTACTACAGAAATGATGCTATAACATTAAACTCTAAAGGCAGCACAAGAACAAAGGGAGTCATTTTAGACTCATTCAATGTACTTTTTTTTATTTTTTTGACCTGGACAAGGCATGGCAAGATGTCATCTTGAAATGTACCTATTTCTAGAACCGTCATTTACTTTTAGCCATGAAATCCCCTGGAATTTACCACTGTATGTTGTGTTTTCTGTGAGTAATGATCAAAGACTTCTGACTGATAGCAAAGAGTGGACATATTTCCCTAAAAAGTAAAATAGCTCTTAGTTCCTGGATCATATTGTGAACTGCCACTTCAGCCATTTAGTAAAGAATCCATTTTGATTTCTCTCTAGATCAGACATTATTTTTATTTATTGTGGGGACAGAGTTCCATAAAACCATAATCTTTCCTAATATATACTAGAGGACAAGATAACACAGGTTAAAATACAGTTTTATAATGCACACGTATTTTTAAACACACATAACTCATATGCTGTATCACTGAACCCCTTTCTTCTAACTCACCACTTTCAAAAACCACAATAAATTCCACGTGTCCTACGCACGCATACCAGGACAGGTTCTACAGTGCTAATGGCACTCTAGTGGTCATGCTTTGCTTAATAGATGCAAAACTCTTCCCAAAAATTTCCAGAAAACATGATGCCTTTTTTGCTGATATATTGATTAATTTATGTCATAGCCATTAATACATCAGAAGAAAGTGAAAATGTTTTGGTCTAAGTTTTGCTGTTGTCAGTTTCTTCTGACATGAGAAGAAATACATGAATGCTCTTTCCCATAACATAAAGTTTCTTAATTGGCCACATGCAAAATGGAGTACTTTGGACTTCTTCCAATATGTGGCTAGAGGTTCATAAAGCATGATGAATCATTGCTCTGCCCTGACATAAGGATTATTATATTTCTTTATTGCAGTCTGAAGAAGCCAAAAATGTCAGAACCTAATGACAGTTTGCTGCCTGAGAGAGGCAAATGTACCCTGTGGTCTCAGCATGAGATCTCATCTGCCTAAAGTCAGAAGCATTTAGAATAACCTAATGAGCTCAAAAATCTGTGAACTTATGAGTCCAGGCCAAAACAAGTACCAAACCCAAACAGAACCAATTTGAAGACTGTGGAATGCCTCAAGATTGTCCTGTGTTCTGGAAAACAGGTCTTTTTTCTCCAGGTATTGTTCTAGCAGATATTATCTCTCCTCCCAAGCCGTGTCCCATAAAGTAAATAATTCTCGGTTTACTGATTCCTTCCAACACAGGCTTGATTCTTTGTACAGAAGCGAAAGGGGCAGAGATGGAATATGATGGCTCCCTTCTGCTCTCTTCTCATCCTATGCTAACTCTAGTTTGGTTTGGTTTCAGGATCTGGTCAAAGTATTTAAAGGAAACACAAAGGTGCTTGGTAATGGAAAAAACTCACAGATTTTGTGCTTGCCACTGACTGGATTCAGGGAGGAAAGGGGAAGAAGGTGTTCTTTCGATTTGTTTCTCAAAAATAAATCCTGGTTTGTACCAGGCAGCAGAAACATATTCACGTACCTTTATATCCTGTATCTTCTGCTTCAGGGTTTCTATCACATTATCCTCGGGTATGTGAGCATCCAAGAGCTGAGTGCACTGCTCTCTGTGCTCTTGTAACTTGGCTGCTGCCTCAGTGCATAAAGTATCGAAGGACTCCCAAAGCTGCAGGGTTGCTTGCGCTGCCCGCAGTTGATCTGTGATGTCTTCATTTACTGAGTTCCATCTGCCAACATATCAAAGGATAAGAGTGTTTTCCCAGGAAATTCTCCTCCAGAGTATTATTTGGTGTAGGATTCCTGTGGGAGTTTCTTTGCATTCACACCCATGTTACTGAAAGCCCACTGACACGGCACCACTTTGTGCTCTGTGATCTGTCACAAAAAAGCATCAGCTACTTCTACAGGTACTCTTAGACAGGTGAGTTGTATTAATACAGATTTAAAAATCTGACAGACCTTCAAGTCCTACCTCAGCAACTTTTTTTTTTTGGGTCTTTTTTGCAAGCTTACCGAGCGTGTTCCTTTGTGAAGTTCTGCTCAATAATCTCTGCAAAGGAGGGGGAGCAGTTCTTCTTCAGGTTACTGGCAGCAGCCTGGAGCTTAGCCCAAATTTCTTCACTGTTCTCCGATTCATCTTGAAGAGACTGCAAAAGGGATTATGATGGCAATTAGTTGTGGAGATGAACCACCTAAGCATAGTTTCCCCTATAGATTGGTAGGGATAAGGCAGCAATAACACCACATGTTTGCAGAACAGATTAAAATGTTTGTGAAAACTGTAACATGTGATCCTAAAAATTAGGAAGCTGAAAGAGAAGTGAAATGGTCCAACTTAAAAAAATCATTCAGAAGGCCTATTTTAAACTGAGGTAATTTATTTGCTCTTAAAGAAACAGCTCATTTAACAAACCCATGGCCTTCAACTGATTAAATTAATTCACTAGAAACCAAAAATGTTTTTATTTTAAGCCACTGTTTCAGGAAAATTTCTACTGCCAGTAAAGTTGGCTTGACAACTCCTGGCTCCGGCTGCATGTTCCCCCTCCTGATACAGGAAATGGCATAACGCTGCCATAGATCATATCTGTGAACTGATCCAGATTAAAAATGAAAAGGGTGATGGAAGGAACGAGGTAAGAAGGTAGCAGGTTCCTTCCATTTATCATGCATCCTCAGGTGAGGATGGGAAGTGGTTATGCAGGCTTTCCAGCCCTCAGTCTGACCTGCACCACTTCTGATATAACCTCAAAATAAACCTAAATGGGCCTTATTTACACTGAAACAGGGAGTGTTTACAAAGCCTTTCAATGCTCGTTTAAAGATATGTAAGGGGATTTTAGCCATATCCGTAAAATGTTCAGATCCAGGGCCAGCCTGACTACCTGCTCCAGATGCCCCACTTAGACTCTGTAATAGCCAAGCAGAGCCCCAGGACGATCCAGAGTATTTATGCCCGGCATTTATGCCCAGCCTCATCCAGAGGCTGTGCAGGGAACTCCAGCTCTCTGGAGGGCAACTGAACAGTTGACTTCGCGCTGGAGGAATCGGAAACACCAGGCTTGGAGATGCCCCTGCTCTGTCGCAGGGCTGCTGTGCCCACCCAGCCCAGGCCACAGCTTTTGGGAAGGGAAATCCTGGGTCCTGAACCTTGACTCCAGTGCTGTTTATACGTGGAAAGATCCTTTAACGCAACATGTGTCAGTGCTCACTGGCACAGAGGCTGGGACATAGTACCCCAAGCACAGCGTTCATGAGACGTGCTCTCTTCGCCAGTTTTTTCCCAAGTCCCCTTCATTTCTGCTCCGAGTCTCGGCATCGATGCGCAAGCATCTCCTTCCAGGTTATGCGACAGTTTTATTTTATGGCAGGGTATTTCCCTGGCAAGCACAAGCAAAGGGGCAAATTTCCCTTCAACCAATGAGTCGAGAAACCAACATCTCTCCCCTGAATGGTGGATAACCTTCAGGCAAACACATACAGCGATGGCATTAAGTTTTCCTTTGCCAGCTGTATTTTCAGCCAAACTTCCTAATGTCCACGTGGATTAAACACAGAGTAGACATTCGTGTGGGGGATGGTGGTGGAGTGCACATGTCCATCTGAACTCTTTAGTGCAAGGAAGCATGAGGACCTGGTGCTTCATATGGGGATGCCTTCCAGCATGTGCAGAAGACTAAAACATCAAGGGATCTTTGCAATTCAAAATCGAGGCCCTGCCAGCTCACAGTATGGTAGCAGCTGACCCGTACTTCTCTCTTGAACCTTGGTAATTAAATTGCACCAAAGTTGAATTTACATGCTAAATAAATCAAGAAGTCTAAAAATAGACCTCAGTGCCTCTGGAGATAAAAAAAAAAATATTCCACTGACTTCAACAGCACTATAATAAACAGGAAGTTGCCCAGATAAATTTTTTTATCTTTTTTTTTAGTGGAGTTTGTTTGTTTGTTTAAAGGCACAGAAGGAAGTACGGAAATAAGACAACTTCAGTAGATTTACCTGGAGAGTTTTGACCCGGTTTCTCAAAGCTTCCAGTGACACCACAGAAGGTTTGCACTGGTCTCTGTGGCACAAATATCTTGTCGTCATCAGGCTGACTTCCGCATAAGCTTTGCTATATACTTCCCACTCCTCCAGTATTGACTGCATTGAGGTCTTTAACTGTGCAACCTGCAAACGAACCACTTTTGTTACTATTTCTTGGATAGTCCTAACATATAAATCACCTTTAAATTGACTTAAAAATCTAAGCTCAATGCTCACTCCATGACAGTCCACAAGAATTCAACACATTGGAGTATTTTCCTACTTGTAAGGAATTGCTCAGGCTTCAAACCAAGCAGTAAACAGTACTTAAAGTATAAGAATTTGCTGGAAACAAAAATTTAATCAGAGTTCAAGGTAGCATTATTCTATCAGCCACAACTCCAGAACACCTGAAAAAGTAAAAAGTACTGAAATAATGAACTGCTTATTCCTTCCTGCCAAAATCAACCTGAAGTTCCGGGAAGTTGAGAGCTCTAATCTTCTTAGGAAGCGGATAGTCTGATCCAGAAATCAAGTTTCCTTTTAATGGAAATTTGAAGAGATTTTGTTTTGTATGAAAGAAGATGCTATTACAATACTCTGGAGAGCTATCATCCCTGTTATGCCACTGTGCTCTAATAATAAGTCACAGTTTAGAAACTTCAGGATTCACATATAAAATTAAATGATGGATATCCTCTTCATTCTCTATGTTTCTTTCATTATTGCAGTCATTTAATCTACATGGAGGCAAGCATGGTTTCCATTTGTCACTTACTCCTAGACATTGCAAAGAGAAAACCACAGTCCTCCTTCAGTGTGATCTGTCACTTTTATCCTTCTGTATCAGGAAAGTACATAAGGCATGTCCTGGGTTAGACAAAATATTCATCTAGTTTAATATCTTATTTTCAGTCATGCCAGTATCAGATGCTTTGAGAAGAGCACGAGAACCAGGCAAGCCAACAAGCATGTCTCCATGGGACCTGGCAAAGTCAGATGCCAGATTTCAGTTCTGACTATGCATTCACACAATGGAAGATGAAGACTTTTCTACACCATCATGCAGGCTAAATAGGCTGCATGGATCATTGTATCCTAGTTCCAGGCACGCAGGAGTAGATGGATTAATCATCCCTATTCTTATTTGAATCATGGTACAGGTGGGAGGAATCTCTAATTGCTCTTTGTAGCCTGCAGCTAATTACTGCCCACACAAGGAAGATGGAAAGACATTGTGCTTGTGAAATGTCTCTAGGCCACAGACAGACTCACAGTCTTGAGGTCAACCTACGGACCAACCTCAATCGAGGTACCACATCTCCTTAGACCTATATTTGAAATCACCACCTGGCTCTGCTGAGAGCAGTCACTTGTGGGAAGAAAGCTGCACCCCGTGTTTCGTTGCACATGCAGACAAGTAGACTGTAAGAACATTCTGCAATTTATAAGTTTGATACTTAAGGCATAAAAATACTAAAATTAAAGTGACCCATGGTGACTGTAAGAAGAAAAAAGCACTAGGCTGTCAATCCTGCCCATTTCAACCCCCAGCTCTACAGCAGAAGGAAAAACTTTCATCATCGATCCACACAAAAATGTCTCTGCTTTCTTGGTAAGAAACAACCACATCATTTCTGTTGAAACCTAAAACAAGCAGCAGCAGCAGCCCCATCCTGGACCAACAACTCTTGTGGAAAAGTTCAAGCAAAAGGATTCAGGTTTCATAAAGCTTCGAGGAACGAAAGCAAGGCATTTATAATAGAAAGTGTAAGGGAATCTTCATTATAAACACCATCACTGCATCACATATAATCCTCAACAATGTATGGTTATTTGTTACCACAAATGAGTACATTTATGGATTTAAATCTTCTGTGGTTATCAATTACATCTATGTAAAAAAGATCAGTTCCAAGTATAAAGATAATTTAACTATAAATGCAAACTGCTGTGAGTCAATTTGCATGGGAAACCAATCTGCCAGACTGTCCTCGAAGCAATTGGAAACTACATAGGATTTGAAGACAGTGAAAGCCATCTGAGTGCATGGATGAAAGAGTAACTGGGAGATGGAAAGGCTAGAGTGAGAATGGGGCAGGAGTAGGCAGCTTCCACCAGCACACTACAGGGGAGAAAGACCAGCGTATGAAAGAGAAGCAGATTGAGTAAGAGAGTTTAAGGTTTCCATTTTCAACTTGTAAGAAAAATAGCAGTGCTATTTCTTTATTTTCTTAAACTACAGATGGGGATCTGTCCCTCTTCTCCCTGTATTCAAACTGCTTTGACATCAGACTTTTCTTCCTCTCTCAACCTTGGAAATACATTAATTTACGTTATGGTATAGACTTAAAAGGAAGTTCTTAGAAAGCTTAAGATTAAGAGTAAGGAAAAATTTGCATCTTGTTTGTACCAGCTCCTGCTACCATCCTATGAAGGAGCTTAATAACACTACTGGTAAGAAAACAGAAAGGAAATCTGAATGCCAACAAAACTTTACCTGGCTTACAATGCTGTCCAACATTTCACACAGCTCAGCTATGCCGAGCGATAGAGCTTCTGGGGTTTGGTCTGCACTGTCATTCAAAGCCAAACTCTGCTTGAGCTCATCAAGGATTTTGGATTGAGTTGTGAGCTGATTTTCTAGATCCTAAATGAAAAAAAAAAAGAAGAAAAAAAAGGAAGATAAATAAGCTATTTTAATGAGACTATAGAAAAAACCTTCTGTGAGGAGATTAGATAAACATTGCTTCTTTAAAACCAATTCTGTGTAATTCTTCAGCCATGCAACACCATCACCATTTCAACTCTGATACGGAACAACTGCTTTACAGGAATTCAGAATGACAGTGGCTGCTTTAGATAGTCTCCTGCAGGTAGAGCTAGAACCAGTCCATTTAGTGTCAGCCTGAGCACTGGACATCATGCTTGGGAAGGAAATCACCAGGAGCTAATTCCTCAGCCACCATGCAGGCCTCTTTGTACCTCTCCAGATGCAAAATGTTCTTCTACTAATGCAGCTGAACTTTTCCCTGGGCAGGCTAGCACTCAGGTCCTCCTCTGCTCCAGAAGACAAAGGTAAGATAGGAACTGATTTTGCAGTATGAGGGTCTCTGATATCTTAACAACTTCGAGAAAGCTATTTGCAGCTTGTCCTCTTAAACAGAGGCTTTCTCCATGGGAGAAACCGACTGAAATCAACGGAGATACCTGCGAGAATAACTTTCCCCCTAACACAATCAGCAAGATTATAAGCTAGTCTTGACTTGCTAGGGAAAGCTCAGCAATAAAGTTCTTCACAACACGAGTAAATGTCCATACACACAATGGGCCGCAATTGTGTCCTACAATACTACACTTAAAGTCATGACCTTTTTTCCCCCCTACTCACTGTCCCCACAACGTTTTCAGATTCAGACCTGATTTCCATGAAGCAAATTAATGTGAACGAAACATTTTAGCCACCTGCATCCGAGCACCGTACCTTGCTGTGAGTAGGTTAGTGTTTTAGTCAAAGATACCCTGTGTCTGTCTTCCATTCTGGCCCTCAACATGTTTCAGAGAGCTTCAGAGAGACAAGTAATTTGGTGTGTAACTGAGCACTCTAGGCAATAAAAGAAGACTACTACAAGAGACAGACATGTAACCATAGCAATGAAAGAACAAATATTCCACATTAAAAAATCGAGAGGGAACACTGTACTGAATGAGAACAGCAGACTGTCAAGAGTAACAGAAGCCAATTATTAGCTGGCTGCACCTGTACTAATTTTGAGGGAGCTGATGCCTAGAAAAACACAACAAAACCAAATGACACCCAGATTCTTGAGGATGGTGCAGAGAGACTACATTCTAGGGTAGAGGAGTAGAGTGAGTTGTTATCCTTCCAAACGGGACTGTGTAGTTTCCACGACACTTCTGCCACAGAGCTCTTCAAACTAATGGAATTGGTAGCTTTTGCCACAGCTGTGCTGAGCTCAGAACTACTTTTGGAGGCATCTCAAAATAAGATCTACAATATTGCTGCACAACACTCCAAATACCATGGAACAACAACAGATGCATCTTCAATTGGAGGAAAAAAACATAAAATAGAAATTCACATTAAAAGTGGAGCTGGCTCTTTATCACCTGAACCTAACATGCTTTAACTAAAATTACATTGTAGTATTCTTCCAGGAAATGGCAGCTTCCCTTACACTTTTTTCTGTTAACATCTGTGCAGTTCTTTAGTCTGGATCCAGCAAAGTGCTAAATACATTTTTCACAACAATATCACACATATAATGCTTTACCTTGCAATTATCTAATGTGTTCTGCGCAGAGATAGGACTTGCTGGTGTTTGTAAAGATTTCAGCTGATCACTCTGAGCCTCCAGCCAGTCGCGTACAGTCTGTGCTTTCTTCTCATTTTCAGTCATGTCCCTCAAAATCTCTTCCAGGTCTTGCATCTGAAAGTTACAGAACTAGTTTGACTTACTTAAAACTAGAGGTGGGCAGAAACAAGGCTCCCCCTTCCATGACAAAATTTGAGATTACAATATTTACACTGAAAACATGATATACAGAAAATATTTTGAAAGAAAAAGCTAAAAAGTTTTACTGGCTTTTTAGGATCCGGCCTTTTCCCTGCGAAGGAAATAAGGCAGTGTGGGTTCAGGAGCTGGCACCCTGCGGACCTGACAAGTTGGGGACCCTGGGCTATGTGGACATGTACATATGGAGTCTGAAAACCTCATTCTCCCTAAAACCCACCAACAAAGTTACTAATAAGCAAGGGACCTTAAGTCTCCTATCTTCAACCTGGGTCCTGGGGATCCACTAAATCCTAGAATGCAGTTTCTTGAAAACAGTTAGAGAAGATCACTCTTTTTCAACCACAAAACTGAAATTTCATCATTGAAATTTTTAATTGTGTGGGAACTGAATTTTCCACTTGAAAATGTTTCTGGAAGAATTTCTTAGGAAAATTTGGGAATTTTCTGTTTCATCAGTGGTCTTTGTATCTGGATTTAGGGAGGGCAGCTTCTCCCAAAGCTCTGTAAACTGGGGAGAGAAATAGAGATGAAAGAGGAACGTGCTGGTAGACAGTTTCATTCCAGCAGTTTCATGTTTGCATTTTGGGATGCTAACGTTCCCCCCGTCTCTTCCGTATCGCACAAGTCACACTAGCTTGGCTGGGCACTGGGGCATGCAAGCATCACCATCTAATTCTGGATGCACGGATTATTTCCAGCCTCACTGAAGTAATTCTGAGGCACCACCTGAAACAGATTTTCTAAAGAGAAACCCAGAAGATGTGCTGGTAGAGTTAGTTTACATGTAGAATTTGCCTATCAGTTGCTGATCTTCAAAGCACTCCAGTGGGAAAGAGCATTTCATTACTGCAGAAGGAGGACACAGACAGACAGGATCCAGACAGACAGGATCCGTATTGGGCCCAATGCTGTTTAATGTCTTCACAAGCAATCTGGATGATGGGATCAAGTGTACCCTGATGAAACCAAACTGAGCGGGGAAGTGGACACTTCGGAAGGGAGGCCACCCTCCAGAAGATCTGGATAGGCTGGAAGAGTGGGCTGACAAAAGTTCAACAAGGACAAGTGTAAGGTCTTGCACCTGGGAGAACATCATCCAGGAGCGCAGCATGCTGGGCCATCTTGTCTGGACTGTGCTTTTGCCAAGAAAGGTTGGACCAGATGATCCTTGAAGTCCCTTCCAACCTGGAATTCTATGACTCTATGATTGATTACATGATTCTTAATAATTAGGTTTTTGGCAAATCCAACTGCTGTAACAGGAAAAAACGGGTGGTAGCTTAATATAGCCCTATTTCTCATTCCCATCATATGGCATGCGGAGGGGTTGTTTTGGTGCTGTGTTTGCTGAGCAGGGCTTGGCTTGTACCAAGCAGTACAGCACCTCTCACTTCCACAAACCATCCAGTGTTTTCTTCCATTAAGTTTTAAATGCCCCAACTATCACAACACTCCAAAGCTTCAACAGACTTCACTAACAGGTTCCCCTGCAGACACCACCCTGATTTCGTCTTTTTTTCATAGTTTTCTCAATATAGGTTGTCTTTGTTGATATGTCACTGACTATTCATTTCTTCACATGAGGAACCTTATTTTTCCATCTAATATAGTTAACTATGGTAAATCTCAGGCTGTCATGAAGAACAGATTTTGTCTATTTTCCCTCCCTGCAAGTTATAGGAGAGCTTATCTGCCTAGACTTTGCTGAGGTTTGGATGCCCACCCACCACCTGATAGCTGACATGCTACATAACTGCTCCACCGGCTGCCCATAAGACAGCAGGATGGACAGAGAGCAGAGAGCACAGGGAGTCTCACTGTGTTCAACAGTGTTTTCAGACTCGGGGAGAAAAGCTGCTTGCAAAATACAGAGCACTGGCACAAACAAGATCAGAGTCGTGAGAGAAAGCAATGAGAACTCAATCAAACCTTTCTCTTCAGAGACGCCTGCAGCTTTTGCCAGCGCAGGTTCATCTCTCCAAGACGCTCAGCAAATTCTACCCTGTCGTACCGCTTGCTTTCCACATCACAAGTGCTCATCTGCAAGAGCGACTGGTTAACAAAATCTACAGTCCACTGTTTAAATTTCATTTCCATCATATATTCCTGGAGGGAAAAAACAAAACAAAACAAAACAAAACAAAAATGAAAAACAATTAGTTCGGCAGTTTTAATCTGATCAGTTCCAGTGATGCTTCAAGGTAGTTATGGGACATTCATCATCCCTTATTCTGAACTGTGGCCTAAAATATTTTTCTGAAAGATATTTGGCCGTGGGAATAATTCTCAATTTTTACCATTCTATGTTTGTGTGGCTATTTCCATCCACAGAAACTTTTGCAGAAAATCACTACCATTATGTGGGTAGCTCAACGCAAGAACAGACTAGTGCCAGAGCAGGGAATAAAACCCAGGGGCACTAGACCAAGTACTTCATCCATGGGACAACACCACCGCACTGCCATGGGCCAAGATTAGGCTAAGACCAAGGTTTTCCCACACTCCTGCGACTCACAGACAAGCGCAGACAAGAGCTTGTGCTCCTTTACCAAAATGTCTAGTATCAGAATAGAGTATCAGAATAGAGTATCAGAATATCTGGAGGGAGAAAAGTCCTCCAGCACCAGTGTCCTTGCCCGCAGGGACGAGTGAGGAACTACGTGCAAAGTGAGGACAACATAAGGGAATGCTTTTTTATTTCAGAAGGTCTTAGGGGAAGAGAGGAGGGAAGGACTCCTCGTTGTATCTAGTAGAACCCAGAGAAAAGCCACCAGGGAAAACCACAGTAGAGGTACTGAAGTCATAGCTGCTTCCCTGTGGGAATTCATGACCCTTATCCCAGCTTTCTTCTCAGCATACACATCCCTGCATTGCTGACAAGTACAGAAGACACACCTATAAACTGATCTCTAAATACCCAAAGGGTTAAAAGCAGCACCTCATCTACACGTTCCAATTGCCAAATCCGACTGATACAGACCAACGTGTTACATTATCTGCTATACTAAGGCACTGTGAAAGAAATGCTTGTGTTGGCACTTGCCAAGGTACTGAAGTGCCAGAGATCTGCAGCTGTAGACTGACTGCCATCCTGTCTGAGTCCAGAGCACCGCTCGGTAGCTCTGCAAAGGCAGAGCAAAATACAGCTCTGTAGAGATCCATGCCCTGAGGTTGGGCTCCCTGGCATCTGTGGAGTTATAAGCATGGCTTGAATCCTTCCTGTGGCTGGGGCAATCAGCCTCTGCCATCGTGCTTTAGCATCTGACCAGAGCCCAGAGTCTGCTGCAGAGATGTTTGCCTTGTCCCTCTCTCCTAGCAGGTTCTCTCTTTTGAGGAAACCTAATATTCGAAAACCCTGTTCTCTAGTTAAATGGATCCTGGTAATGGAGCTCCATTACGAGGCATTCCTTGTTGAAAAGACAGACTAAAACACAGCACAAACACAGAGTCTATTTTCCTAAGGAAGCAAAGCTTTCCTGCTCAACATGTTTTGTAATCTAAATGTAACGAGAGAGAAGAAGCGAGACAGATGGGACGGCATGAGGAAAAGGAGATTACTGCACAGCAGGCAGTAGCTGTATTGCAGGGCAGACAGTGTTTTGTCCGACATGGAAGCAAAAGGTTTTTATAAAGGAAGATGTCAAGGCACCTTTGAGACCGTTTGAGGAATCCTCCTGAGAGCAAAGGGAAGGATATGACAGTGGCTGTAGGCTGTTTCCATCCTTTCTACAGACAAACACCTTGCAGAAAGCCTGGACTTACATCTTCCCATTTACCTTGTACTTCTGAAGGAGGCTTCTGACTTGGGCAGCACTACGTTGTGAATTTATTGGCTCCTCATGTCCCTGCTGTTGTTCCACATGGTCCAGCCAGGCCATTAGTTCAGCAATAGCTTCCCGTGATGAAAGTTTTTCCATCTGAAGCTGGGAGTAAAGCATATCATGAATCCTCTACACTCTGCTTGTTACAAATATCAAGGAAGATGACATCTGTACTTTCATAAAGGCTCAGGCGCTATAATTGCAATTATCAGGGTATGAACTTGAAAGTGAGCCCAGTGCTCCAGAGGGGCATGTGACTTAAATTAAGAAAATTTCAAGAAATCAGAAATTTGAAATAAAATTCTTTCTAATTTTAACAGACTTGCATATAAAACTGTAAAGATGATAGGTATGTGCAAAACAGCGCAGGAAGAACATTGCAATAATTAAACTGCAGTACAATACTGGGAATATTCTGAAAGCAAGACAGCTAGCTGATTAGGAAGGAGGTGCTTTGAGGGCCTTATGAAACAGCCAGCTGAATCCCAGCAGCAACATTCTAAAGTAATTATTTAGCTTGAACTGAGAGATGGCAGCAGAGTTTCTCCTCACCTGGTGAAGCTTTTCTTGGATGGCTGGGAGCTGTGTAATCAGTTCTCCCCATTTTTGCTCAAAGTTTGCCAAAGATGACTTAAGTGCTGCAGTTTCGGCTTGCTTCATGTGAAAGAGCTGGTTGGCAGTGCTCACTACAGATGACTTCAGGGAAGATTTTTCATCAACTTCCTTAGAAAATGCCTGAGGTGCACAGGAGAAATTGAAGAGAGGGTAAATATTTATATATATCTCATTAAACGAAGAAGACAAACTAGGCTTTCAGTCATAAGATGAACTGTCTCAACAAACAGATTATTGCAAGTTTGTAAAGTTCAGAAAATCTGAACTCAACATGTTCTGGCAGCAGGTAAGGTTTTTTCTGCTCAGCTTGATACAGTGCTGAATGCCACCTTTTGCTCTACAGGGATTGGGAATATCCTGATCCCCACTTCACATAGAGGTCCAGAGAGCAACTCCAGTCCTCGAATCTCTGGATCTGTGAATCTGCTAGTTCACACCTAGCAGTCCAAACTTCATGATGCTTTGCTTTCCCACCACGCAACACTCCCTCTGTCAAGCCTCACATTGGGGCTGAACCTTCTGGCTAGTCATACAAGGGGAGCACAGCACTGGGGGGACAGCCAAAGACATGAAATGCAATTCAGCATGTTTCTCTTCCCTGACTTGGGCTGACCATTTCCACAGCCTCACTGTCTTCACCCTTGTTCCCTCAGTCCACACTCCAGATTCAGTTGGTAAGTGGCCCATCAGCTTGGCTGAACTGCGGGATCTGGTATTTGGTATCAGGAGCAAGACAGAAACCATGCTGTTACGCTGTAGGTGCATAAGAGAACGTGGCTGGACTGTGGTGTGTTGTAGTTGGGAGCTCATTATGAGAGGATTCCATTCTGATTTATACACTCTGGCTGGCCTCGCAATCTGAAGGAGGGTCTTTGGTGGCTTCCCATCCTCATGGTTGCCCACACAGATAATGGGGTGGCTTTGGGGCAAACAGCCATTCAGTGCTATACTGTGTGGGCAGCTACTTGGACATGGCAAATACAAAAACGACTCCAAAGGGGCATTTTCACTGGAAATCACAATGTCGTCTCTAAATCTGGCAGGAGAAATGACTTACCAACAAGCTGTTGATATTATCCCTGATGGTGGGAAGATCTTGTGACACGTTGAGAGACTGCTCCTTCCAAAAATTCATTCTCTGCTGAGCAGAATCCAGCCATTTCATTAATTCCGCCGAGTCTCTGTTGTAGCTACAGGGAGGAAACAAAACACACAAACATACATCTCCTAGCTGAGTCTAGGATACATTTCTCACCCTCCAAGTTGTCCTCCACTCTGTGAGGAGGCATGTGCTATTCTGGCACCTATGCTGCTACATGACCCTACAGAAGCATGGCTACAGCATGGATTCATGTGCAACACAGCAGATCTGCTGGAGGTACACACGAAACCGTTCCTATCAGCTCTTTTCAGCCGGTCCACTCCCCTTGAAAACACCCTCTTTCTGTGTTCACCCAGCAGTTGCCAGGACAAGCTCACACGGGCGAAAAGAGCTTTGCCGGAGGTCAAAATCACCAGAGGAGATTGTGCACGCTGAGAGATACAGTGCAGAATACAGAGCAGGGGTAAACACCAACAAACACTGGCATGCTCTGTCCACAGTATGAGTTCAGCCAGCCTGAGCTCAGAGCACACAGACCAGGAGCAGGGAGAGCTGAGTGTGGTAGATCAGCTGGTGGGCTGGGCTGTAGAGCCCTAAACTGTCTCCACCTGACATTGTCAGGTCTGCATTGACAGTTGGCTTGGGGCATGTGAAAGCATTGAGCATGCTTGGGTCTTCCCTTGTTGGAGGGCTTCAAAACACAAGTTGAGGCAGGACATCAGCCAGGTCTTGAATGTTTCTAAGGTGGATAGTGTCCGTGCATAGACAGGCGCGCTATGCCTTTGCATGGGAATCAAGGCTAGCTTGCATTCGTAGCAGGCCAAAGTGCTTAGGGCAGCACGATCTGAGCTTCTGTTAATACTTCCAACGCATACACTGCAGCAGGATGCAGCTAACTCTCACCTAGGTGCACTGACTTTGCAATGGCAGCAATCAAAATATTGTTCCAACAAAAATAAGCAGGAAGCGAAGCACTTGTCTACACAGTGAAAGAAGATCTGCTGTGTAATAAAGGACCACTTTTCTGATCACCATTGCTTTTTTTTTTCCTTCTCATTTTTAAGTTAAACAAGCTATGTTATTTATTAATTCACTGCCATATTTCAGAAAATACATCTATAAAAGGTCAGGCACTAATTTCCAGCTGGTATCTCTAATTGCTCTCTGAGTTATACCCACCTGACCAAGAGTTTGAGGAATGGCTGAAGTCGGTGTAGTTCATGGTCAACTTTTTTGGTTAAAGAGAACTGCTGCTCTTCCAGCTTCCAAATCTGGCTTCTTATTTCTGGACTGTTCACAGCAGTCAGCAATTTCTTCCCTTCTTCCACCATCTGGTACAGCCTGGCACGCTTTTCATCAACACTGCTTTTGATTTGCTATCAGAACATGGGAAGTTTGCGAAACAATAGTATTTTAAAAACCAAAAACACAGCTAGCAAAACGCATATAATTTTTAATAATGTCTTGATCTCACATTTCCCCTGTCATGTATTTTATTTTTCAAACAGAAGGAATCTGTACTTCATTATGTGCAAAAAGGACACGGGTTATTTTTCGTTGTTTCCTCTGGATAGATAAGACAGATCTCAATATAGTTTCATACATTATCAGAATGACCGTGTTAACGATTTAATGAGCTTTTTTTGACACATGTAAACCTCAAGCAATGGACAAACACTCTCTATCAGATCTGGCTGCATTGCCCAAATATATGACTGTCCCCAGCAGAAAGTTATTGCCCTCCTGTTCTGAGAGGGCCTTCTGGCTCTATCCTCTTTCAAAAAATGTTACCGCTGTTTTGAAGGAAGCTGTTGGGATAATTAGAGAACAATGGTGGCAGGGAGGAACAAAGAGTGAACAGTGAAGGCATTAAGTAAAAGACACAGGAGTGGTCTGGTTTGCTTAGACAGCTGAACAGAAACAAAGCATCATTTTACTATTGCTACACTTCACTGAAAGGTAAAAATGATAAAAGGGAAAAAAAGAAAAAGAAAAAAAAAAACAGGAAGCAGATTAGTCCCAGGGAGAAGGTAGAATGGAGCAATTTTGTGATGCAAGTATCTCACTTCTCTCCAGGCAGAAGGGACTTGTACAATATTTATTATTAATAGGGATATTTCTCTGACAGAAATTAAGCCCCAGAGACTTTTTTTCTGCTCTGTCCTTGAAACTGTGAAGCTCCAGTGCTGGGATTCACCCCAAACACATCTTCTAAAGCCTTACTACTTTGTTTCTGATGTCTTTAAAGACAAATAAATACTTAAGAGTGAAAAGTGAGTTAAGAATTTAAAAAAACAGGAAATCATGCAACTTCACAATCAACAGCTATGCAAAAAAGGCATGTCTCCTGTCTCCCTGCGAGAGGCATCAAAAGCACCAGAATGCCACTGCGACTGTAAATATCTACTCTTGATTTGTTTCAGAAGCTTTACTGTAGCTCAGAATTTTCTGGGAATGTCCAATGATCTCTTTCATGCAGTCAACTAGATTAAATCACAGCAGTCCTTTTTGCCTTTATAGCCTATTAATCTAAATATCAAACTGGACTCAATACAGACCAAAGATTCATTAATTCAAAAATTTCTAATAGAGTGGGTCCTCTGAAGACCAAGAAGAGTCAAACCTTTGAGGAATACAGAGCACCCTCTGAGGATACACCACTAAGTTTATTGACTGCTATTTCTTCTTCATTTTATAAAACAGCCATAAAGGCTGCTTTCACATCCTTATACTTAAATGTCCTTAAAACACAGATAAAATGTTTCTAACTGGACTTGAGGTTCTAAATAACGGTGTAGCTCTGCTATCAGAGATGCAGCTGGGAACAAACCAGGAGCCTATTTGCTATTCTATACAAAAGGAATTCTGTTCTTTTTGGTCAGATAGAAATCAGGACATCTCATTTTGAATTCTCAGGATTTTAAAAGGAGCTGGTAAACCTGTAGACCTTCTACCACAACCAGGGGTTCAGATATGTGAAGGTACTGGGTTGATTCTCCTCTACCATAGGTTTTACACCATGGCATAAAAATTGTTCCTGAATTACAGAGAAGTGGCTCAGTCTTCACTTCAAGGGTCCCTGCTGTCCTTGGGATCCATGTATCCTGCACACTATCTTCCTCCAAATACTTGCATTTGAAGACCAAGTCCTAAAGTAGCTATAGTCATTAGTCTCACTTGAACGAACTTAGAACCGCTGGTTGAAACTAGCAGCTCGATCTGCTACTCTTAGAAGTAAGTTTTCAGCTTGCATCCACGCACAGACAAGGACAGAAAGGAAAGTGCACTGCAAACCATCTTCTTGTATTCTAACTGATCTTTTTTTGCCGGCTCTACAGAACCACGAAGAAAACCATTCAGAGAGACAGACACATAACTTAATACCTGTAGAAGTGCAATCCTTTCCATTAATCTTTCTTCTGTTTCTTCAACCAAATTCACAGAAGGCAACAAGGAGGCAAGTGCCTCTAACTCATTATTGATAACCAGGTATTCATCATCAAATTCCATCCATTCCTAAAAAATACATCGCATCATTAACATAGCACACACCTGTCTGCGTTTTTGCTACACTAGACTGAGGCCTTAATGCTTATTCGAGTATCAGCAGCTCTCGCTTTAATGAAACAAAACATGAAAATAGGTGAATAATACAGAAATATTAAAGTGAGACATGATTTCACCACAGATTATTTAATTAATTCATTCTCTAATATACTCAAAGTTTCTTATTTCAAAGTGGTATTCTTTTTTGTTCTCTAGGGGTGTTTCAAGATCAATTTTTAGGTTTTATTTGAAAGTGGTACTGGTATTTTTGTGCCTTAAAGGGCCCTCTTGTCAGTCCAGGCACTCAAAAATTACTGCAAGAAGTCATAAAGTCCCACCTATGTCAGACTACTGGGTTAAAATGTACACTTTCAGAGGTTTTCAAGGAAAAAAGCCAGTTTACTAACCCACACAGCACGTAACATACTGTTGCTGTCCAATGGAGACAGGAAAGGACAACTACTAGTCAAAGAATCACTGGTACAGAAAGGGTTCCCCTAGACACAACTCTTCTTTATCCAGTTTTTTTTTTTTTAACTCCGGGTTTCTACGGATTCATTACCTTTAACAGGCTTTCTAAGTGTATAACATGCTGGAAGGCCTTTTGCTTCAGCAACTTGACTTCATCCACCAGCTCTCTCCAGAATTCCTCTCTCTTTTGTAGGATGAAGGGAGTCACTCTCTTGGAAAACGCTTGCATGAAAGCCATGTGGGTCACGAGGTTGTGCAGAAAGTCCTGAAAAACACAAGTTAAATCTTTCTCTTTAACAGAGATCATACACCCACAGCACGGGTATGAAGAAGACACAGAAGACTCCCTGAGAAGAGCAGCCAGTTTCAGGGTGTCTCATAGTCGGAGTCAGAAGCCTTCTACCCAAATTCTGCATCACCCCAAGATGGGCAGTTACTGATTCTTTTATGGTTAGTCAGGAACCAGTGATGAGATGCATACATTATTTTCATTTACGTATTTCTAAAGATAAATATCTACATTTACACCTTCAGTTCACGTGAAATATGAAGATGTTGTAGGAAGATGAGGGAGGGAAAAGATAAGCTATAAATAGATACGTAGTTTAGCGTGAGGTAGTTATCACCAGACAGCCATTATCCATTTTATTTCAGCTGGATGGGAGGTGACTCCAAGCACCAAGGGTATTAGCAGTTCTAACACCCAAGTAGTAGGCAGGGCACAATAATACTTTGCAATAACTATGAGGTAACAGTTTGATTTAGTTATGGCTCAGCTAAGCTCTTGGGAAACGTCTGAATCTCAACAGAACATCTTCCCCCACAAAAAAGCTTTGAGGGTTTAAGATCACACCCTTCAATCAAGATCTTCTTCACTAAGAACTAGTAACTAGTACAAGAATTTCATGTAAGGGCTGTACCCCAGGCATAGGCTGCCTGAGTATCCTGATAAGTCTTGATAACCAGGGCAGGGAAAATGGCTTTTGCAGTTTTCTTTTGCTTTTGTACATCAATGTATGTATATTTGAACTGCAGATATATTATTTGTCTTCCTTTGTAAATTGATTCATAGAATCATAGAATCATAGAATGGTTAGGGTTGGAAGGGACCTTAAAGATCATCTAGTTCCAACCCCCCTGCCATGGGCAGGGAAACCCTCCACTACACCAGGTTGCCCAAAGCCTCATCTAACCTGGCCTTGAACACTTCCAGGGATGGGGCATCCACAACTTCTCTGGGCAACCGGTTCCACTGCTTCACCACCCTCTGAGTGAAAAATTTCTTTCTTATATCTAATCTAAATCTCCCCTTTTTCAGTTTAAATCCGTTGCCCCTTAGATTTTGCTTTGCTAAGGGCAATTTGTGAGTGACAAAATTCCTAAGATTTTGCTTTGCTAAGGGCAATTTGTGAGTGACAAATACCATTCCAATGACTCTGTAGTAGCGGTTTGTAGCACTTGGCATCCTGAAGCCATTCTTAAGGGAGTTTGAGCTACGTGGAGCAGTTAAATCAAGGCGTTGACATGACAGAGACATCTTTGAGTGACCAGCATTGGCCAGGGCTTCTTGCCAAGCAGCAGGACAGTGAGGATGCAGGTGCATTCTCAGCCATCTCCATCAAACATGTAGCAGTTGGTGATTCTGGGCTGCCAAGGAGAGGATGTAAACTATCCTTCCTCAGGAAAAGGAGCTGTTATGAGTACGTTTCCTCCACCAGATAATGACAACACAGAATGCTGAAAGCAAAAGCTCAACTTCCCAGTTGCTAGACAGTAACTTCAGGAAACTCACTACTCATTTATTACCAGTAATTAGAAGGACATATGTTTTTCTCACATATCAATATGTGAGGTATGCCCAAGTAGTGCTAGACTGACAAAAATGAAATCTGGATTTTAATTTATCACCAAAACTGCGGTCATAATAACAACCCCTCTTTCATATTTTAGCGGGTCCTATTTTGGTCTACTCAAAAACTTGCCTTTGGTTTCTGCATGTAGTCCCGTCTTCCCCTACGCTATGAGCTAGTTATTCTTCTCCATAACACTGGAGAAAAACCAGTCACAGAAAAATAGTGCTCCTGCTATGCTGATCTGAGCAGTGCTATGATAAGCATCTTATACCTTCTGATTTTCCAGGTAGGACTGTAGAGCTGCTCTGCTTTTCATTAGCTGCTCTGGATCTCGTGCCATCTTCTTTTGTCCAATAGCTACCAGCTGTGCAAATCCATGAAGTAAATCCTCATATTGTCTGTCACTCATGGAAGGAGAGTTCAGCTCCGCATACTTTGCTTTCAGAATGCCCCACATGTCATCCAAAGTATCCTATAATGTAAACTCAGTTTAGTGACTCACGAAGGACAGAAATGAATCCTACAAACCTGCACACACATTCCCAAAATAACCATCAGCCTTTTGATGCTAAAAATACCTTGCTTAGAGGAACCAAACCTTGTTGAGTAAGTGGAAACTGTACTGTGCTCTTACCTCTAATTTATAAACTTCCTGGATTAAGGTGATAGGTAACTGAAATCTTTCCCCATGGCCTTCCAATTTTGCTACTTGTTTTTCAAAGTTTTCCAGCTCCAAAGCATAGGCGTCAGTTTTCTGAATTAAAGACAAAAAAAGCACTATTAGGAAGAGTTCTGTTCCATTAAACTTTCTATTATCACTAGTAGTGCAGCAGATCCAGGAGCTGGATCTCTGCTGTGCTAACACTGCCTAAGTTCACAATGTGACCCCAAGATCCAACGAGCTCGTAAGCTAAATAGACAAGACTGTTCATGACACCGCTTTCTAGGTTCACACAGCACACACAGGAAGAGAAATCAGGTCTTGTGTCTCAGTCCAACATTCAACATGTATTTCCATTTACTAATTCAAGAGCAGCCATTAAAAGGAACCATCGACTCAGAAAATACCATTTTTTCTTATGAATTAAAAAGACCCAGTCAGGGATGGATTTAGACAGGTTCTCTCCGAAGGATGGGAGGGAACTTCTGGTGTTCCTTTTCCAAGAGTGGTTACTTGACAGAATATATCTAAGGCAGCAGTCCCTGCTAGGGGATTCAGCAGTTCTGAACATAGCTTTCAGCCCAGCAGAAAGTTATGCCTGTAAACGAGGTTATGAGCCTGAAACAAAAAACTTTCAGACACCTGCTTTGCTTCACCAACAAGTAGATAGATGGCGGATGACCACTCTGGGGAGGCTATGCAGACTATTCATTTTTAATTCTCTGCTAATCCCTATAAAGATGAAGAAAATAGCTTAACTGGTCAAATCCCATATGATAAAGTGCTCACAAATGCTGAATGAGTAGATATAAATCCTGGAATCCTACTGCCAAAAAGAAAAGCTAGTTTTGCATACAAAAAGGCGTAATGTGTGAAGTGCTGTACTTTGTGTGGCTCTTTTTCTACCCTGCGATGGTGTGGGGTGTACTCTGAGAGGTTATGGAGAGACTGGTTCCTTCACTCCAACTACTGAAAGGACTGGAATTGGGTCTGACGACGGATTGGGGTGAATTTAAAAAAAAAAAAAAAAAAAAAAGGAGTGGAGAATACTGAACTCTCTCCTTTTCCCATTCTTAAAATCCAAGTGAGACTAAAACTTTAGAAAATATGAGACATAATAGACTGCAGAAAATGAAATAATAGGTAATGCTGAGAGTTTTTCCTCTCCTTTCCTTTGAATGAAATTACCTGAAGCTGTTCAGAAACATTATGTCCAGATATTGCATTCAAGCACTGTTGCAGAGTAGCTTTTTTCTCAGTTAACTGATCATAGAGCAGCCTGGTCGCATTCTGTAAAAGCAACAAATATCAGAAGTATATCACATATCAGGAATATAGTAATGACCAGGCAAAATTACACAGCAAATGAAATGGTTACCTCTTACAGCAAAAGCACTTTAAAAAAATAAAAGGAAGGATGTGCATTATGGGCTTAAAGCAGTCATTTAGAGAGGGAAGTTCTGTAGTCTGTGTAGTGTAAAAAAACAGATTACTCTGTCACAATGATCATCTATGACCGTAAAAATCTGTGAAACTTATGTAAAAACAAATTATTCTCTTCTGAAAATGAGAAAATGAGCCCATTACTGGCAACTGATGGAGCTCCATGGCTTCTGTAGAAGTAAACAGTGCAAGACTAGTCCTGCTACTGTTTGGAGACAACATCCCAGTGTTCTTCAAAGGAACTGTTTTATTATTCAGTAGTAAAGAGCTAGGCTGACTTGCAGATGATGAGCACACTGGAGTTTTGCTGGACATTGGACACTGTATTTCAGAGACCAGGCTTTTGTTTACTTCAGCCTAAATACCTGATTTCATAGAATCATAGAATGGTTAGGGCTGGAAGGGACCTTCAAAGGTCATCTAGTCTAACCCCCCTGCAAGGAACAGGGATATCTCCAACTAGATCAGGTTGCTCAGGGCCTCGTCCAACCTGGCCTTGAACGTCTCCAGGGATGGAGCATCCACCATCTCTCTGGGCAACCTGTTCCAGTGTTCTACAACTCTCACGGTAAAAAATTTTTTCCTAATATCCAACCTGAATCTACCTCCCTCTATTTTAAAACCATTACCCCTTGTCCTATCACAACAGGCCCTCCTGAACAGCCTCTCCCCATCTTTCTTGTAGGCCCCCTTGAGGTACTGGAAGACCGCTATAAGGTCACCCCGGAGCCTCCTCTTCTCCAGGCTGAACAGCCCCAACTCTTTCAGCCTGTCTTCATAGCAGAGGTGCTCCAGCCCTCGGATCATCTTCGTGGCCCTCCTCTGGACCCTCTCCAACTGGTCCATGTCCTTCTTATGTTGGGGACTCCAGAATTTTGAATATTTTCCAGCAAAAGCTGGTAGATTTAGCCCATCGCAAGAATCTATAGAGATGTTTTTCATTATCTGCTTTTCCGAAAAAGAACAGAAAAATGCAAATTTGCAAAATTATGGCTTCTGCAGCACAAAATCTAAAGGAACAGTAAATGCAAAAGGTCAAAGCAACCTCCAATACCTAGCTAAAGTAGCCCAGTGCCAGACACGGCACCAAAAGGGAAGATGTCTGTCTCTCCTGAGTCCACACAGAAGCAGAAAGAATATACAAATCCCTCCTTGGCCTAATTCCTACACACAGAAACTTGCTTTAGCCTGTAGCTCAGCACGCATGGGATCCCAGGTTACTTCCATCCTTTCTGTGTGCAAATTTTCTACTGTGATCAAGGCCTCTAAGGTGGTCAGCATTGCAAACAGCAAAATTAACTTGCTCCTTGAGAGGCGAGGACAAGTTTGTTTAATACCCCCAAAAAAATGAAAGCCCATTATAAGCTCATCTGTAGTCCACATGCATTAACACTGACAAGTCTAACAGATGCCGTGAAATAAGATGTGCATTTAGCAGTGGAGTACCTGATAATTCCTGTTATCATTCAGCCCAGCTTTCATTGAGTTGCTCCTTGAAGCAGCGGCAGCTTGAGTTTGTTCCAGCCGTGCCTGCAAGTTGTTAAAGCACTTGCAGAACACATCTGTGCTCCCATCAGTGCAGCTAATAGACTTTAGAAGATCATCCTTTCTATGACTCAGATCAGCGTGAAGTTTTTGCAGCTCAACAGAAAGAGTCTAAAGGGTTGAAAGAAAGATAACATAGGTGAAAATGGTCTCTGTCCAAGGACTCTTGCCTGTAAAAGGCAGCAGGACTCAGTTGATAATTGTTGTTAAAGGCCATAGGCCCAAATCTGTGCAACACCAAATAGTTTGGTGGTGTTATTTCTGAATAATACCAGTAAAATAGAGAGGAAATATAGGGCCATATATATTCTGTTGTAACAGAAATCCACTGGAGTTTCTCCTTCCCTGGATGCTTTAGGACAGTTACCTCATAAAGAGCCTGCTGCATGGCTGCCTCTTCAGCAGAGAGGACTGAGGTGTTCAACATCTCCTCCACATTATTCAAGCATCGGCTGATTGCCAGAAGCAGCTCAAACAATTTTCTGTCCAAATTGGAAGAGACTTTCTCTGCCACGTTATCCTGGGTAAAGGCAAGTGAGAAGTTTTCAGTACTTTCACCCAAGGTATGGCTAAGATTTATTCACTCTTATAAGGCTAGAGGCTCAGTCAGCTAATAATAAAATGGAATTAATGAAATACTGAGGGATAGACTCGGATGAGACAGTTATATGCACGTAATATTCAGAGCTGTCAAGGCCAAAGCTGAGACAATGACCCTTTACGTATTGGGAGCGGCTGTGGTCTTACAGGTCTCTCATCTCAGGAACAGGCACAACAGAATTTGTCTTGTCAGCTCCAACGCCACAGATTTACAAAATCATTCACAGGCTTCTTGCTTTATATAGCTTGAGAAGTTTTACCCACACTAGCAGAAGTATCATAGCTGAAACTTGAAATGCTTCGCCTCAAAATCCTAAGCTGATTTCTACATTATAGTCCATACCTGATGCAAAAGATACACTACAGTGAACGCCATTTGCAATAATATGATTATTGGCTATGTTTCCCAGTGCCCAAACAGTGTCTTGTGTCTAGAATCCCTGGTATTTTTTGCAATGCTAGGACATGCCATTTTTACCTGTGCATGCACCACGTTTGCTTCTTGGCTTAGGTCTCCCAGCTGGACAGCGTAAGTTTTCAGTTCTTCCACAGTTGGGGTTCCTGCACTGGCAAACGTGCCTCGGGGCAGCATGTTCATCTTTATTGTAGTCTAACATTTGGAAAAAGAACATTGCAATTAGGTGAACAGCTGTAATGAAAACAGGGCTATAGGCAACTAGATACCACTCCTCTCCAAAAGCATTAAAATGAAAGTTTCAAGGCATTGATATAAAACACCTGGATAGCAGGGTTCCCTTTTTAACTGGCAAAAATGAGTTGGGTAGGCTATACTCTGATGGGAGATTGACTGAAAAAGAAGCCAGCTTCAAGGCCTACAAGTTGTACTTTGTGTTAAGCCAGCCCTGCTGCCCACTGCAACGTAAGTCTTGCCTAAAAAGAGCTGACGTTCATCCTTTTACAGGACCGCTATCCTTCCATGTAATGCAGTAATTTCAGAGAACAGGGAATCTAGTCTTTTTAATTAAATTTGAACAAAACTGCTAGTAACAGAAATTACAGTTTTGTCCAAGCAGTAAAATTCTGCAGTCTGTTCAAAGCAAATACAAAGCATGCTTTTGTTGCAGCCCAAACTCCGCTTTTGGTGTGTGATAAAGAGAGAACACAATGGTGAATGGCAGCACAAAATTTAAGCCAGAGATTCATTTTGACCAAAATGTTCTCACTTGCAAGAACTCAGACTTAACCCCCATTAACAGCAAGGATTCCCCGACTTCACACTATGCCAGAAGTCGCTACTTCAGAGACCTATTTACCTCAAAGTAAAATTAAAAGACAATCATGAAAAGTCTATGTGGTAACAGCTTCCTCTGGAGAACACTTGCATGGATTTCAGTTACCTGATGAAGAGACATGATAAGATGATGCAGGAAGATACTCTAATTGTTATCTTTACTACAACCAACAGCCTGCAGAAAGTGTGTTTTACTGAACTTAAACAGACCTGAGGTTCCACGATCTTGAAGAGAGGAGACTTTATTTTTGACAACAGTTCTTGTTGTAAATATTGCCATTTATTATCCATTCGGTCCATTGGAGCTAAGGTGGGATGAGCCTGCTTGCTCTTTGGATCAGATTCTCCATTGCTGTATTGAGAAAACATTGTTAGAACGGCCAATACTGAAGAAGAATAAGCAAAATTAGATTTGTAAGACTTGTATGAGATTAGTTTCTATTGCTCCTGCCTCAAAACCAGAGCGAAACCAAGTACGCGGATGATCTCTCATCCAAGCTTTGATACATTTCTTTGGGCTTTTCTCTTCCCATGAAACATCCTAGAGGCCTGCTGCCAGCCTTTAGCTCTGAAATGACAATATGAGGAGCATGGTGCTGTAGCATGTCTTGGTTCCATGCTGGAAGGTACACGATCCCAATGCCTGCTTTTCAAAGATGCTGCCTTTAAACCTAGCTGGCTATCTCCGTGCATTTGTCCAGCAATGGCTATGAACAGAGATACCCAACTTGCCTCCAGATGGATCTGCTTTAGTTGATGGCAGGTGTCAGTTCTGCCTGATAACAAGAATGACTCTAAACACTGGAGTCATCCCAATGTCAAGGAGGATGTCACATACATGAGATTCCATTTCTCTACACTGTTGATGGCACAAGTTCTCCCAGCTTCTGCAACCTTTCTCCTAAAGACCCTGGACAGAATCAACAGTGCCACTCCAAAGTTTCAGCAGGTTTAGTCAGTTTTACATCACTGAGTCTGGTAACTGATTTTGTTGTTTTGTACCTTGATTCTAATTTCTGAGTCACACTGTCCTCAAACTGTGGCTTCATTTTTTCCATGCATGCCTCAATGTTCTTCTGCTCAGCTGCTTTTACGTTTGGATCCTGTGCACAGAGGACAGCATGAATGGTAAAATCAATTGTGTGCACTGTTTTCATCTCAAATGATGATTGTGCCTTTCCAATCACATTTTACAAGAATTCATTTAGCAAAGAAGATAAGAATACATCTATCAGAATAAAATGCATTTTATGTGTACACATGGAATCAGCAAACAAAGCATTTTCTGAAAACATGTATTTTTATGGAATATATTTCTGCCTGAGTTGAAGTTTTAAAAGCAAAACCCATCAGTCAGAAACAAACTGTGCACATATAGAAATTTAAAGGCCATCGACTGCCATCCTTATACAGAGAAAAAGGCAAGGGAAAATGGAGATTTGCTCAAACATGAGGTCGAGTTCCATTAGTTAAAAAGAGGGTGTCAAGTGAAAAGCGAGCAATTTTAGCAGTTCAGGCTGGATCATTTTCTCCAACTCTTTTCCAATAGCATGAAATTTGCTCCTCAGTAAATTTGCGGACGACACCAAGCTGGGAGGCTGTGTCGATCTGCTCGAGGGTAGGGAGGCCCTTCAGAGGGATTTGAACAGACTGGATCGTTGGGCTGAGGCCAATGGCATGAGCTTTAATAAGGCCAAGTGCAGAGTCCTTCACTTGGGGTATAAAAACCCCAAGCATCGCTATAGGCTCGGGGAAGAGTGGCTGGAGAGCTGCCTGGCGGAGAAGGACCTGGGGGTGTTGGTTGACTACCGGCTTGATATGAGCCAGCAGTGTGCCCAGGTGGCCAAAAAGGCCAATGGGATACTGGCATGTATCAAGAATAGTGTGACCAGCAGGAGCAGGGAAGTGATCCTGCCCCTGTACTCGGCACTGGTGAGGCCGCACCTGGAATATTGTGTCCAGCTTTGGGCCCCTTGCTTTAAGAGGGATATTGAGCTCCTGGAGTGAGTCCAAAGAAGGGCAACTAAACTGGTCAAGGGGCTGGAAAATAAAACTTATGAGGAGCGGCTGAGGGAGTTGGGGCTGTTTAGCCTGCAGAAGAGGAGGCTGAGGGGACACCTGATTACAGCCTACAAATACTTGAGAAAAGATGGTGGGGAGGTGGGGGAAGGGCTCTTTACATTAGTGTTGGGTGATAGAACAAGAGGAAATGGGTATAAGCTTAGTCAGGGGAGATTCAGGTTGGATGTTAGGAAGTATTTCTTCTCTGAAAGGGTTGTCAGCCACTGAATAGGCTGCCCAGGGAGGTGGTTGAGTCCCCATCCCTGGATGTGTTTAAGAATAGGGTGGATGATCTACTTGAGGATATGGTTTAATGGGGATTAGGGATGGTTGGACTCGATGATCTCTAAGGTCTTTTCCAACCTAGAAATCTATGAATCTATGAAAAGGACAAAAGCTAATTTTCATTTAGCAAAACAGAAGTAGTTTACAGAGCACAGAACATCACAGGATTTTTTTATTAACAACAACCTCATCATGAGTTAGCCCACGGGAAAATATTCACAAAGCTTTAGCTTCAAATTCATCTTCAAAAGCAATGTCAAGATACAGATTCAGATTTCATAATACATCAGTGCTTCAAAGATAGGAGACTGGAGGGATGGGTGATGCCGTCTGAATCATTATGATACAAGGCAAGTGTCAGGGTATGTCAT